TAAAAATAAACTCACCATACAGTCCAGCAATTGTGAGGTAAATTGGGCATACAGAAATGAATGTTTATTTTCACTGGAAACTAATGCTCAAATGTTCATCGTAGCTTTGTTCATAGACGAAAACTGAAAACCATTCAAATATCTTTCAATGGGAGAATGGTAAAAAGAAAAATCTGTGGTCCATGCATACCATGATTACTATCAGTGATAAAAAAAAAGGAATTAATTATTGGTACATGCTGTAACTTGGATGAACCTCAAGGAAACTATGCTGAGTGAGAAAAGTCAGCCTCAAAAAGATACATGCATACTGCATGTTTCAGTTTATGTAACATTCGTGAAATGACATAATTATAAAAATGGGGAGCAGATGAGTGGTTTCCAGGCGTTAGAGATGGTGGGAGTAGGGGTGGGTGAGGCTATAAAGGGGACGCGCAAAGCAACCTTGTGGTGATGGCTCAGTTAAGTATCTTGTGGTGGTAGTTACATGAAGCTATACGGGTGATAAAATTTCAGACAGCTACACACACACACACACACACACACACACACACACACACACGAGTGCATAAATAACTGTTGAACCTTGAATAAGCACTGTGGATTGCATCAATGTTAATTTCCTACTTAGTATGGTGCAGCAAGGTGTTGACATTGGGGGAGGCTGGGTGAAGGGTTCATGGGACCTCTCTGTACATTTCTTTGCAACTTCTTGTGACTTTGTAATTATTTCAAAATGATGTCTCTGAAAAACCTAAATTTATCCTTTTCCAAAACTTGTACTTCTTCCTGAATTCCCTAATTTCACATCCACAAGTGTGAAAGCTAGACACATAGGCATGAGCTCAAACTCCTCCTTATCCTTCACTCTCAGCATCAAATAATAATAAGCAACATTTGTTGAGTGCTTCCTCTCTACCAGGCACCAGCCAGAATTGAGAACCTTCAACATTACTACTTACAGTTTTCTATGACTGGTCTAAATTATTCCTAACACCAACTCTATTACTATTCCTATTTTAAAGATAAGGAAACTTAGAATTAGCAAAGGAGTTAAGGACCATGGCCAAGGTCATGCACTAAGTTAAGAAGGCAGGTTTCCTACCCAAGTATTTTGACCTCAGAGCCTATTCACTGTGAAATCACTGGACACAAAATCAACTCGCTCGTCTTAGTCTGTGCTTCAAGTCAAGATTTCATTATTTGCTACTTAAACCATAAATTAATAAAGAGCCTGCTGACTCAACTCCTTTCCCAGACCCAAGAGGAAGAAGCAATCATACTTTACAGTCTTGAATGGTAAACCATCCCCAAAAGACGGCAAGCCTCCAGTTTCCTCATGCAAAGATTTTAAGTATTTTTACCAACTTGAATATATATACATTTAGCACTATGTGTGAAACAACCAAGCACTGATATACAGATATTCTATACCTGATATATGTTTACAATGGCATATCATATTAAAATATTAATTTGAAAATACCTATATTGCTATCCTCACTCTTCCATTTTCTGCAATAATTTCTTTCCAATGTTTCACACATATCTTGACATCAGTGTGTTCACAGTTTTCATCTAACACCTGTTTTCCAGAGCATATTATCTTCATTCCTAAACTATTTTTAAAATAGTGCTTTTGAGTCCATATGCTAATGCTGTTCCTGAAAAGCTCATTCCAAGCTAAAAGAATCTATTTTTATCACATCAAGAAAATTTAGGATTTTTTAAAAATTGCACTGTAAGTCAATGGTTTTTCAACACTGAATTAAAATCAACTGGAGAGCTTACATCAACAAGGGTACCTGCATAATGAACACTTATATACCTAACCCTGAATTGTACCCCATTTCTTTAAAATAAAAAAATAAAATAAAATAAAATAAACTGGAGAGCTTTAAAATCTGCCAATCCCTGGGCCCCGGTTCCCTAAAATAATGATTTTACTGACCTGGAGCAGGTGCTAGGAGTAGCATTTTCTGATGTTCTTCCCGTGATTCTAATACACAGCCTGAACTGAGAACCGCCTTGGGTGGATAATATGTGAGCCCAGCAATGAAATTCTTCAGTTCTCAATTACATGCAAGAATCACATGGGAAGTTTTGTAAACATACTGCTGCCCAGGCTCCACCCCTCCCCTGACAAAAATTCTGATTTATCTGGGGATAGGGACTGGGCATTTTTCGTTCTAAAAAAAACACTTCAACTGAATCTCACCAGCCAGAATTGCAAACCTCCAACATTACCATTTGAGAGTGTTTCTTTACCAGTGAGTGAGCTTTTAACTCACCATCAAATAATTATGAAGGTAAGATCACCTCACTCTCTCCCACCCCCCCCGAATTCTAAAACTGTGCTAAATTTGTTTTCTTCTGTTTCTATTGTATCGTGTCCCCTGTAAGCATCTAAAGATAGCACTGATTGAGAACGTGTTAACCTAATTTGGCTTCCCCAAATAGTACTTGGTTATCCTAAATTAAGGCATGAAGAGCGCCCCATAAAGTGAGAGATTTTGTCAGGATTCCAATACAAAGTGAGTCCTTTTTTCTGAAAGATAGATTGAGAAGAAAATGTCCATTTATTTTTACACATATTATTAAGAACTACTCTTTCTTGGGGTGCTTGTACATCAAGGCACCATGATAAATGTTTACCTGCCTGATCTCATTTAATTCTAAAAAAGTACACATAGGACATACAACCATTATTCTTCCCACTTTGCAGAAGGAGAACCTGAGAAATGAAGTCCATTCTTCTAAGGTTACTACCCAGCGGGTTTTCAGAGACAGAACACCACCCAGGCCTTCTGCGTTCAGTGCTGGATCGCCCCCTCTGGCCTAGCCATCTTTGAGGGGCACGGCATCATGGTCAGCCGACTCCTCCCTCCTCCCTGCCTTTGTGGTCCAGTCCAAACACCCCTGTCACCAACATTCCCTGGCTCTGTGACATCACAGTCTCCTGCCTACTCTGCCAGCTGCAGGTGAGTGAGGCTCACAGTTGAGACCTAAGAGCAGAAGGGGGTAGCTTCTGTATTAAAAGAGGTGAGATCTCCATCACTCCTACTCACTTTGCTAAAAGAAGCAATCACCACCCCTCATTTGCCTTGAACCCACAGTTTCTCTGGGTCCCAGTATCCTCAGTATCCCCAATGGCCCCTAGGGGTTCTCTCAATTCCAGAAGCCTTCCTGTTTGACCTCACTGATCTTTCTTGTTCTGGCCAAAGTGCTGTGGGTTCACTAGAGACCTGAAGTTCACAGCCCACTGGGGACAACCCAGGGGCCCCTTTCTTTGGCTCCTGCTTCCCTCTAGCTGAAAGCACTAGTAGCGCAGGAAATGTCACACACCTCTCCTCAAAGCCTCCCCTGCATCTTTGTCAGCATGGGCATCTTCATTGATATTGATTAAGCCTTTACAATGTACCAGAAAGCTGTATCAAGCACTTTCTTTTGTTATTTAATACTCACAACCACCTTCTATTGTAGATAATATTATCATCTCCATTTTACAGATCAGAAAATGGAAGTCCAAAGAGGTTATACATTTTTCCAAATTTCGTAGCTAATAAGTAGATCTTCAAGAATGATACACCAAGGAATGTGCTCTGTAGCTGATACACTTTTCTCTCTAAGAGCTTTTTTTTTTTTTGAGTTGGAGTCTCACTCTTTCACCCTGGCTGGAGTGCAGTGGCACGCTCACAGCCACTGCAGTCTCGACCTTCTGAGCCCAGGTGATCCTTCTGCCTCAGCCTTCCAAGTAACTGGAACTACAGGCATGTGCCACCATGCCCGGCAAGAACCTTTTTATTTCTAAAGAGGGTTCAACAGTTCAAAACCTACTGTCAACCCTCAGAGGAGAATGTTTCTATTGCCCTCTCTTTCTTGTGAAATTGCCTGACAAAGAGTTGGAGAGAGCATCAAACCTGGATTCAGGCAAACACACATTTAAAATTCCTGCTGCACGGCTAATATAAATGATCCCCAAGGTATATTTTAATTGAAAAAGAAAAGTAAGATGCAAAACAGTGTGTAGTAAGCTACCATTTGTATTAAAAATAGAAGGAATTTGAATACCTGTATTTTCTTCTATGTGCACAAGCTGCTTTCAAGGAAAAAACCTGCATTCAATACAAAAAACAAAATCTGAATTTATTTCTGATTAAACAAGGGAGCACTGTCCTTACCTGCAAGGTTCTGAACAAAGCCAGTGGCTGCTGTCTATGGGGTTTGGTTGAGTTAATGGGCTGGTTATGTTTCAGAGGAAGGAGTTCACAACCAGAGAGCTTTAGCTGTGAAGTATAACTACCTGTATGTGTCGGTTACTCCCAGGAGAATGGTCACAGAGGAAAGCTTTTGTTAATAGATTGAATGGATTTACCTGGGGATTACCTGTCACCATGCTCACAGAGAAATCCACCTTTACCTGGGAATATGATAAATATTTTCATTCTTGGTCTCCACCTTTTGGTCTTCCCTCAACCAAAGCTGCAGGCAAGACCCTCCAAGATTGTCCAGATCTCCAGATCTTCATCATTGTTATCAACTTTTCTAGAAAACGCAGTTCCATTTTTTCTATTTACAGAGATCTGGTTTTCAGGTTGAGTATCAGTCCGTCCAATTTATTCTCATTTTGCCTTTAAATCATTTGTTGCAACATCTGCAGGACCAGAGGCCGTATAAAAGCATTCAGCTCTCTGGACATCAGATACTGAATGACATAAAACAAATGATAATAATTAAAAGTATTTCAAGAAGGATCTCAAAGACTCTCCAGAATTATGACTGATGATTTCCCACGCATGACTGTCTGCTTTAGATAGAAAGGTTGCATTTTCTTCTGGCTTAGCTACAGATTAACTTCACCTGTGTCATTAATCCAGGTACAACATGAATATGAGCAATGGTGCAGATCCACCGATTAGTCAATATAAAATGCAAAGTTATTCTATGATCCATAGTTAGTTAAACTAAGGATTTTAAGTTGGTCACTTATACTGCAGGGTATGGACTGTATGATTTACTATGTCAATCAAGGTGAGGGAAAATGAGCACTTTGATTTGTCCAACCCTCAATCTTCAGAAGTCTGTTCCATCTATTAGTAATTATAGCCCCAAGAAGAGTTTTATATTCCTTCAGACTCTATATAGGAAGACATAGTCCACTGACAGCGTGGAGGAGTTACACGCTTGGAATGGTCTAAGTATTCATCACACAGAACAATTAATCTTCATGCTGGTTGGCATTGAAGAGTCTGATTTTCACATAAGAAAAAAACAAGCAAGAATTGTTGCTGTCTGTCTGTATTTTAAGACCATCCTCCTTGGGAGAGGAAGGATAAGGAAGTGTTACATGCTAAGGTCTCCTCAGAGAGACATCAGTGGACAGATTTGGACATCTGTCCTTCTGGCATGGAACATTAGTTCTTCTAATGGCCTTTCTGCACACAGTAAATATAAGTGTTCTTACCTACAGAAAATACAGGTGTTCTTACCTACAAGACTCCAAATTCTTAAAGACTGGAGGAAATTTTGGTTCTGTTTTTATTTCAGGAGCCAGTTGTCTCAGCTAGAAGACCATAAGATTACTTTGATTTCTAGTTGATCTTTTAGGGCTCTTTGAAAATAATCAGGATATCTACATTGACACTTGCATTTCAATTTATTTTTTCTAAGTCCCATATTTCACATCTATGCCCTTTGCAAAAAGCTAAGAAATGGCTCCCTTTACTTAAGCTCTTGGTCTGCGTCCGGAATGTTCTTTGAAAATGTCCTGAAGTCTATTAGGTCATCTATTGATCCATCTGCATTTTGTTTGTGACTTTAAATCTTTGCCTAATCTACCCTTAAGAGAAAATATTTTGAAATGGTTTCATGTGGTGTGCTTCCCAATTTTCTTAATTTCTCAAGTCTATTTTTTTTTAATTACACCTAGATGGGTTATTTAAATCTTCTGGTCTTTTCCATTCTGCTGCTTTTAAATATTTTTTTCCCATTGTAGAAGGTCAACAATTAAGTGAACTAATTGGAACAAATATGACAGTTCAGGGCAATAAACAACTAACAGAATCTTGAATTATGCAGCTACTTCCTGTTATTCTGAATTTGTGGACAATTCTAAATATTTGCCCTCAACTCAACCCTCACCCAGGGTTTAAATTAAACCTCTCTGGATTCACCTTCAATGCAAAAGTTTTAGGGGAATCTGTGCAATGTGATTGTTCTTTTCTAGGAAAAAAAATGCTCCCTGAGGAAAGTTTATTCAGGCAACCAAGGGCAGGAAAAGGAAGAGTGTAAATTGATGGTAAAGATCAAGGTGAGTAGAGAGAAAAGAGAGAAGCAAAGAAAGTAGGTGCCAGAAGATTTGAGGAGGCATAAGATCTTTTTTTTTCTTTCTGAGGCCAGAGCATGCCAATCAAAGAAGTCATCTATTTGATGTTCTGTGTTTTTGTCTTCTCTTGTCTTGAGTTCCTCTTAAGTCTCTTCTTTTTGATATCAAAGGTGTATCATAATGGCCATGGTAATTCTAAGTCATCTAGTGAAGTTTTGCTATTCATTAAGCACATGAGAGTACACACAGTGGGAGTATATACATAAAGCAGGAGCTTTTCCAAGAAGAGGCAGCAACCATGACTAATAGGAAAGAGTACACTACAGTTGGTAAAACTCTGTACTTATGCATGGTGTTGAATTTCTTGGTTAAGCAGAGCCTAAAATGAGTCATATGATCAATGACCGGGAACTCACTGGCTCCAGAATATAAGCTAAATAAAGTAACCTTCTTTGGTGATTTAATAAGACAGTACATGTGCTTAACACAGTCTGGGGGGACCCAAGTCCAAGTCTTAGCAATTTCTTTTACACAAATCAATCACCAATGTAACAGAACTCCAAACACTAGTTCTCAGGGCTGACTTGTGGTAGGGGCCTATCATACCTATGCTTTCATTCCTTCCTTATGAAGTAGTTCCTTCTACATGTAACATTCACAAAGCAAGGCTGGGCTCAGTGACTTAACCTGTATTCCAAGCACTTTGGGAGGCCGAGGCCAGTGGTTTGCCTGAGTCTGGGGGTTCAAGACTAGCCTGGGCAATTTGGCAAGACCTTATCTCTACAAAAAATAAAAAAATTAGCCAGGTGTGGTAGCACATGTCTGTAGCTACAACTACTTGGAAGGCTAAGGTAGAAGGATCATCGGAGCCCAGCAGGTCAACACTAGGGTGGCTGTGAGTGTGCCACTGTACTCCAGTCTGGGTGACAGAGTGAAAATCCAACTCAAAAAAAAAAAAAAATTCACAAGGCAGTCTAGAGCAAAGCAAAACCCCTCAAGGCAAGCATTTGTATTAGTGGATAAAGAAATTTGAAACTAAATCAAGTAGCAGAATAAGCAGATTGACAGCAGAGATATTTGCTGAATAATGCATTGCCAAAACAAAAGGTCTAACTGCCTTATATAAGTTTCCATTCCTCTATAAATCCTGGGAAAATAAAACAATTCATTAGAGAGCTCAATTAGCTATATCAGAGCTCAAATCGTATGGAAAAACTCACCTAGCAGGCAGTGGATTCAAAAGACTATTAGAGATCAGGCTAAACAGACCCAGCGCATACCCCCACTTGGTCCAAGGATCCCACACAGTGGGGACATCTGCTGGATGTGTCTAACCATGAGGAATAGTTTATGCACAGGAAGTTAAAAGCCAGTTAGTGGAAGAGAGAAAGTAAATCTATTGAACATACAGTTGTTATTCAACAGTCAGAGAAGGTGAATGTGTTTATTCAACAAATATTTATAAAGTACCTATTCTGTGCCCATCCCTGAACTGAGTGCTGGGGATAGAAAAATGAATAAAACACCACCCTTATCTCCACATGAGTGGGACACTTGTCTATCTCGTATCTTGTTCTCTGCTGTATCTTCAGCATCTAACAGCATCGGGCACGTAGTAGACTCTCAATAAATATATGTTAAATAAATGAAAAAAAGCTCAAGAACGAGTATCCAGACTGTCGACAACTAAATAGGCAATTACAATACAATGTTTTCAACAAGTATTTATTAAGCATTTACCATGAGTTAGGCAGTCACTATACAATAACAAGCTGTGTTATAGGAAAACATGGTCAGGTGAGGGGGTATTGTGGGAGCACAAAGGAGGAGTCCCTAATTCAGGAGTAAGAGATGGCTTCCTGTAACCCCTGAGCTGAGTCTTGAAGATTAATGAAGGAAGGATTGAAGTGAGAACATTCCAGGTGGAGGGAACAGTATGTGAACAGGATCCATTTAGTAAAATGATGATTAGAAGAGCTGCGTAAACGGCATCTCTTATGGCTATAGGATAGTAAGTGCAACCAAGAGAAGATGAGGCTAAAGAGATTAGCAGTGATGATCATAAAAGAAGTTGGATCCACAGACTTGGGAAGCCCCTGAAGGATCTGAGGCAGAAGAGTGCTATGATAGGGTTTACATTTTAGCCAGATGCCTATAGCTTCAAGCAGAGGAAAGAAAGCCAATGAGAAAGTTTTAACAGTGGTCCAGATGAGAGGTGATGGGCTTACACTATGGTGAGGAAAATGCTAATGAACTGATTGAGCAGATAGATTGAAGATATTTGGAAAGTAAAGTCAAAAGACCAATTAATGAGAGAGGATGGTAGGAGGCTGGCAGGTTTCTAGCTCTGGAGACCATGTGAATAACAACATGATTCCACGAAATAGGGAACATGGAAAGAAGACAATTAGATTTGTTTTCAGCATATGGGAAAGGAAAATATCCCCAACCAGTAAACAGGGAAAAACTAAAATTGAAACTATCTTGAAGCTATCTGTCAACTTAGCACATGAGTGAGGTGAGCTGTTTCCTACAAGTTATGGTGTTCCTGGCACAGAAATTACCACTCACAACTCTGTTGCCCTCAGAGCCTGCCAACGCTTTCCCTAAACAAAAGAATAAACGCTACTTTGTTCATTTATTCAACAAGCACTTGTTGACTGCACACACTATGCTAGGTACTATTCTAGACACTGAGAATAGAATGATAAACCAAACATTAAATTAATGATCCTGAGTGACTTATAATTTAATGGGAAGAAGCAAACCATAAACACACTAAGTAAGCAAATTATATACAGTATTAAAAAATGACAGAGAAAATTAAGTAGGGAAAGGATTAGGAAGAGCTGAGCAAAGGGATGTAAGTTTAAATATAGTGGACAAAGATTCTCACTAGAAAAGATAACATTTAAGCAAAACAAAGTTAATAACAGAATGTAGTTATCTAAGAAAACAGCATTCTAAGCAGAGGGTGAAACAAGAATAGATTCCTGGGGTGAGAGCTTGGTGTGTTTGAACACTCAGCAAGGAGGTCATAGTGCCTTGAATGAAATTGGAGAGGGGTATCAGAAATTGAAGGCTGAGAGTTGGTGGTGATAGTTGTTGAAGGACAGGAGGAAAGAATGATAATTAGATTACAGAGCATCTTAACACCCAGGTAAGAACTTTTACAGAGCATCTTAACACCCAGGTAAGAACTTGGGGCCTTCTTCTGAGAAATATGAGAAACCACTCAAAGATTTTGGGCAGGAAAAGAGAAGGAAATATTTTGCATCTACTCCCACATATTACTGTTTCTTATCCTATTCATTCATCCCTTTCTATTAATATGAATTTCCACCTAGTATCATTTTCCTTCAATCTTTGACCATTTTTTTAATAACCTGGGTCTTCTGAGGATAATTATCTCCATTTTTATCTTAAAATATCTTCATCTTACCTTAACTATTAAGGGATATTTAAACTGAATATGGAGTTCTGGGTTTACAGATTCTTTTGTTTCCTTCAGCACTTACAGATGTTGCTCCATTGTCTTCTAGCATGCATTGTTTCTGATGCAAAATCATCGCCGTTCTTGACACCCCCCCCCCCTTTTTTTTTCAGTGTGTGATGTCTTTGTTTATTCTGGTTGTTTTTAAGATCTAGTTCTTTAGTTCTTACTGATTTGACTAAAATGTGCCTGGGTGTAATCTTCTGTGTTTTTCATGTTTGGTGCTCATTGAGTACATATGTTGATGCTTTCCATCAAATTTGGAAAAAATTTCCATTATTGCTTAAATATTTTTGCTACTCTTCCTCACTCCTTCTGAGAGTTCAGTTATATATGTATGTTAGACAGCTTGTTAGCGTCCCCTGGGTCACTGCTGCTTTCTTCATTCTTTTAAAAATGTTTTCTCTACTTGCTTCAATTGAAATAATTTCTAATAACATTTTTTTAGCTCACTGATTATTTCTTTTGTTTTGTCCAGTCTGTTATTACTCCTACTCAACACATTTTTCCTTCAGATATTAGTTTTTATGGAACTAGAATTTCTATTTGATTCTATTTCAGAGTTTCTATTTCTTTCTTCAATACTATATCTCTTCACCTATTGTATATCCATTTTTTCCTAACATTGGAAGTTTTGAGTAGAGGTGTGATGTGACACATTTTAACAGAACTACCCCAGCTTTTGTATTAATAATTAAAGAAGTCAAGGATAAAGGGAATCGAGAGACCAGTTAGAAGGCTATTGCAACAATTCAGGTGAGAGCTGAGTGTGGCTTGGGCCAAGGAACAGTGATATGCAAGTGCCTATGAGGGAGGAAGGCAGTGCACATAATGAATTAGGTGTTGTGACAGACACTTAATCAGTGCTATGATAAGAATTTCTTAAAGGGGGGCTTAACCACAGAAGGAGGAGTGAGAACAGGATGTATCCAGAGGTCTGGAAAAGTTGGTACACAAAGAAAGGAGTCTGAAACTAAATCAAGACCCTATAATTTGGGGCCAACAGAACTAGAAAGGTCCTTGAAGAGACCTTCTTTTTCATATAATTTTAAAGACATGGGATACAACTCAGGATTAGGTATATAAGATGTCATCATACAGGTAAAGTTTGGGCCTCCCTTTGATCCCCACATCACCCAGTATGAGATCAGGTACCTTACTGATGTTGTGCCCCCCCTCCCCTGGCAGAGTCCCACTACTGCCAATCCCTTTCTTACAGTATTATGGTAAATGTTCAGGATCCACTTATGAGTGAGAACATGTGGAACTCAGTTCTTTGTTTCTGTGATAGATCACTAAGTACTATAGACTCTAAATTCATCCAAGTTGCTATGAAGTCCATATGTTTGTCCTTTTTTTAATGAAGAGATCTTCTAGCCTAACTTCCTCTTAATATTGATGAGGAGTCTAAGACACAGAAAGTAGCATGGACTTACCAAAGCCTCACAGCCAGTTAGTGGCAAAACCAGAATATAAACCTACAAGATAATGTGCTTTCTTACCATGGGACTTGGACCAGATAGGATAATTTGAAGTCAATGAGCTACAATAAAGGAAAGGGAAGAAAATGGAATTACCACTGGCTGAACACTTACCATATACCTAGCACCATAGAGGTCACTTTTCATGTGTTTAACCCTTTATCCCCTTGCAAAAAAAAAGTTAAAGTGTGGCTCAAAAAGGGAAAGGAATTTTCCCCAAAACGTGCACCTAGAAATGGGGTAGGACACAGAGCTAGCTATAAACCTAAGCATGTTTATGTGCATTCTGCATGAACTGGGATTTTGCTGTGGTCAGATCATAACTGGAGTATGAAAACAGGTAAAAGAACAGCATCTTTCAGTCACAGTCTTATGTTTATTTAGGAAACAACCCTACCCAGTAAACTGGGTTCACGTTTAAGATCAGCTGATTCAACAAGGTGCCCCTGCAGGCAAAGCTGGCCAAATAGAAGCTCCAACTCCTTTCCATGGGTAAGAAAATATTGTACAAAATAGGGAAAAATTTGCCTTAAGAGAGGGTAGCCTAGGCAGAAAGGTCTGGACCTGCTGGCCATGGGGAGCTATAGAAGATTTGGGAGAGAGAAAGTGTATTAAACCTTGGGAGAGGCTGACCCAATGTGACCCCCATCACAGTCAATCTCCAAAGAGCATCTGGAATTTCAACTCCAGAACCTATAGCCCCATCCCTTTGCCTCCTACAGCTGCCCACCGAAAACTGACCTCGAAGATCTTCTGTTTATGCTGCAGGGATTGTCAGGAGATCAATTCCAGTGACAACTCCACAGTTATCAGTCAAACCCAAGAGTATCAGACATCAACCCACAGTAGGTACCAAAGAACACCCTGTGTGATCTCTCTAGACCTCAGTTTGCTCATCTCCCTCTCGCAGAAACACTCCCACCTTTCCTTCACCTTTTGAATAATAATTCCAACCTAAAATGAGATGGGTGCTGGGTGACTAAGTACTCAAACCAATAAACAAGAGAGCTTAAAATCTTGTATTTAAAGTGTAGTCCATCAACCAGTAATGTCTACATCACTTGGCAGCCTGTTAGAAATGTATTTTCAGACCCCACTCCAGACCTACTGAATCAGAACTGGCATTTTAACATGATGTCTAGGTAAGTTTGAATGTATCTTATAATTTGAGAAGCACTGGACTAAAAACTAGAAAGACAGTGGTTAAGATCCCTGCCTTTGGGACTGTACATGCTAGTTCAAATCTTAGCTTTGCCACAGAAGTTGGGCAAGTCACTTAACCTCTCTGAGTCTCAAAGTCCTTACCTGTAAAATGGGGATATTCATAATACATTGTTATTTTTCTGGACCATTGTTAATTTCCAGGACCATTGAGAGGGCAAAATGAGGCAATATACATAAACACCTAGCACAAGGCCTGGCACAAAGTAAGTACTCAACAAACGTCAACAAATGGAAACTATATATGGGTATTGGCCAGGATAAGATGTGCTCTGCTGTTGAAACAAATAAGCCTTGAAATCTCAATGGTTTACAAAATGAAAGTATATTTCTTACACATTCAAAGTCTAGTACACATCAGCCATCCCTGCTCCATTTTCATACAGGGCATCTTGAACATGAGGCTTCCTAGGCTGCCATGTCAAGGGAAGAAAGAGGGACACAGAAGTTACCCTGGAAATCATATCCTTCTTGATGATCCAGGTCAAGGGATCATAACAGAGAATACTAAGGGTCAAAATCAGCAAGTTCAAACAGATAAAAAAAGAAGAAGAAGCATTGTTGTTAAGAGCAGACAAAGCTAGGACTGACAGGCACATGGGTGAGGGGAGGAGGGAGGACAGGGCTGGTCAGGAATCTGGCACCCTCATAGTGAGAAATGAGACAGCACAATGGCAGGAAAAAGATTCTCATGCATATTTTGCCAGAAATCTGTAAATGAGGGTCTTTAAAAATATTTCTCCTGGAAGTAGAGGCACAGTAAAAATCAAGAATCTTGTAATGTCAATGCCTTTTCCCAAGGTAGTAATAACAATAATTACTGAGGCCTTATGACATGCAAAGCACTATCTAGGTACTAGAGACTCAGCTATAATCAGACAAATCCCCTACTATTTCAGCATTTATATTTTACACCTTATTAGTAAAATTATATTATTTAATCCCCAAATAACTCTAAGAAGTAGACATTATTATTCAGAATGAACATACTACTTTGCAGATATGAATGCAGAGGGAACGGGATGTTAAGCAATTTGTTCAAGGTGTGCAGCTAATAAATGGCAGAGCTATTTATTACAGAACACAGCCCAGTCTGTTGACAAAATGCTTTGTTATACTTCTAGAAGTATTTAAAGACAAAGCCTTATGTACGACAATGTTCGGTACGACTGTATTTATAGTAGCAAAATTTAGAAACAGTCTAAACATCCAACACTAGAACATTGGTTAAATAAATCTTGAATTATCCATAAAATAGAATATTATATGACTATTTTTGAAATGTGGTAACATGAGAAATGTTTTTATGAAATAATGTATGTAAAGAAAGGTAAAATGCATACATAATATATAGGACTGCTGGACTATGTAAAAATGTGGCTAGAGAAAGACTGAAATGTGATTATGACAAGGGGGAAGGTGTTTGGGGGCATTTTTCCCTTCTTCATACTATTCAGTATTTCCTGACTTTTCTATAATGATTGTGCATTATATTTATCAATTGACAAACATTCAGCACCTGCTTATGAGGGGAAACCCTCTGGAGATGGAAGGAGGTAGAGTCAGGTACACTCAACCCCCAATAACCCCCTCTTGTTCATGTTCAGAGTTGGTAGTGCACCTTCACTCCCACGATCCCATCTGAGCCTCCCACTGACCCTGTGGGATTCTCATTGCCAGGCCTGCAGCTTCAGAAGGATGAGCTCAACAGACAAAATCCCAAACATGCGAATGCAGCCTCCCACTTGCCTTCAGAACAGCCCCTGATCCATCCAGAAAAGAACACTTCCTCCAGCAGCAGTGAGTTTGAGGGTGAGTGGCAAATTAAGGACCTAACACTGACCAGGAACCCCCAGGGAGGGGGCCTTGTCCTGATGACCAGACTCCATCAATGAGTGGAGTGACTGGTGATCGTTCCCATCAGGCATCTGCAGTCATATTCCAGAGCACACTAGGGAGACCCCAGGGGTCAAAGACCTGACTCCATGATCTCCCAAGCTAGGAATTGAAGGGGAGAGAGCAGGTCTATGGAGAAAGAATACACATCCTACTTTCCTTCTAAGCCCTTGTGGCATCATCATCTTTTAGGTGTCTTTTTTACATGTTTGCTTGATGCCTACTTCGGCCACTAGACAGTAAGTTCCAGGAGGACAGGGCCCACATCAGCTATGTTCCTTGCAAATCCAGTCAGGTGCATGGCAAGTAAACAGTGCCAGAAAATGCTTGTGGATTGAGTGTCATTGTTTACCTGGGGTGGAATTCAGTTGGAGGCGAAATGCCTCTGGGCCATGAAAGGACAGATGACCAATCCCAGGATGGTGGCACAGTCCAGGAAGAAGTTCCGTGCCTACTGTGGTCTCACATAACTCATAACTTCCCTAGGAGGCCAGACTTCTGAGAGCTAAGCATCATCAGCCCAGTCATTTTGAAGTCTCCTAATAGTGAAAACCCCCTTACAAACAAAATCTCAAAGTTCAGTTTCTATAAACGATCAAAGGGGTTGTGCTCTGCTTGAATCAAGCACAGAGAGCTGGGAGTCCCACTAGCTCACTCACCCTCTCCCTCCCTCTGCCCTTCCCAGCCCCCCACAGGGTTGAGGCCCACAGAGGGGAAGGGACTTTCTACACAGGCCTTCAGGCCATGGTGTGTCAGAGCCAAGATAAGCCTGCTTTCCGTGTCACTGTGCTTTGTAGGACACTCTAATCCTCATGGAAACCACCAATGTACTGCAAGGAAAAATCTACTGCAAGAAACTCCTTCCTATCACAAAGGATCTCCAAATCCTAGGCTGGGGTCCACCTTGGATCCTACGGGGTTCAAGAATCTGAGGAATGCTCAGTGATGAATACAAACAGCCAAGACAGGTCACTCAAGCCCAACTCAAAAGCCTCCACCCCGCATAATTGTTTATTTTCTTGTTTCAGATCCGAACACAAAGGCTTCCCAGAGAAATTTTTATAAGAGAAACATAAACCGCTACTCCCAGGAGCGAGGGCCATTCCAGTCGTGCTTCATTGGCAGGTCCTGAGCATTCTAGACGGGGCACCCACGCAGGTCCCCTGTGCAGCTGGTGGAGGGTCTCCAGGAGGAGGGCGGTGAACAAGGAGTCATGACGACTGATTCAGAAACTTCCGAGCAGGAGGAGAAGACGTCTGAGCCATCCTTGGGCCACCAATAAAAGTCACTCCAATGCCTAAAAAAGTCATCAAGGGAGGAGCTGCCTCCAATTAAAGCTCTTGAACACATAGAGAACGTGTCCCTCTTCTTTAACCCTCTCCCTTACCAGTGAGTGTTTCTTCCAAATAATGTCTTATCATTTTTACATATATTGTTGCATCTAACTAACCAAAAATAAATTTAACCTTTTGGATAGCTTTTGAAACCATTTCAAGCTTATAGAAATGTTACAAGGATAGTACAAAGAACCCTATGTACCTTTTACCCAGATTTGCCAATTGTTTACACTTTCCCCCATTTGATTCATCATGTTTTTCCTCTCTTCCTACTATTTTTTCCTGAACCACTTGAGAATGTACTGTACACATCATGCCCCCTTACCCCTTAATATTTCAGTGTGTATTTCCTAAGAGAATCATATGTTCTTGCATAACTATAATACAGTAAATTCAACATTGATATAATACCATTCATGGCCAGGCATGAGACTACACCTATAATCCCAGCACTTTGGGAGGCTGGGGTGGGAGGGTTGCTTGAGGCCAAGAGTTCTAGACCATTCAAATTTCCCAATTTTTCTCAGTCCAGGATTTAATCCAAGAATTGTATATATCTGCTGTGTCTCTTTAGTCTTTAATCTGAAACAGTTCTGTCTTTGGCTTTCATGAGCTTCATGTATCTGAAGAGTACAACCATGATCATTTTATAGAATGTCCCTCTGATGCTTCCTTATGATTAGATTCAAGATGCCACTTGGGGGCAAGAATACCACAGAAGTGATATTGTGTCATTCTCAGTGATATCAGGAGGCACCTGATGTAGGGAGCTCATATGATAAGTGGTGATGTTAACTTAGATCACCTGATTGAGGCAGGGTCTGCTGCCATTTTCTCCACCGCAAGTTACATTTTCCCCTTTGCAATTAATACGTAATTTGGGAGAAGGGTACGTTGAGACTCTGAATAACCTGTTTCTCATCAAACTTTCACCCACTTGCTGAAGCATCCATAAGTGATTCTTGCAAAATCAATTGTTACCATGATATTTGCCAAAGGGTGATTTTTCTTCTACATACGTTAGTTTTCTTTTTAAAAAATTTAACTCACCACTAGGCTAACAAGGATACTAGTTAATCAACTATAAGGAAAAGGGCTATTCCTTTATTTAGTTATTTGTGCGCTTATTTATAAGTTTAGATTCATGAAACTCGTATTTTATTAGCCTAGCTATAATTCACCATTATCATTTATTTTGATGCTCAAATTGCCTCAGATTTGATCAATGGGAGCCTTCTCTAAGCTCACTTCTGTGTTGTGACATGTTCTATCATTTCTAAGCATTTATTTTTTGGCACACATGATGTTCTACACTATTTTCCTTGTCTCAGTCCTGGAATCAGCAGTTTCTTCAAGAAGCTTTGGTTCTTCTTAGTGAAGAGGTATGTTCAGAAACCAAGATCTTAGCACTAAGTGTGCTCATTGCTCCTGGGATGTCAACATTTGGGGGCCTTTTCAGTGGGTAGAGCTGGGAAATGCACACACACACACACACACACACACACACACACACACACACACATACAAGCACAATACGAGAGAGAGAGAGAGAGAGAGAGAGAGAGAGAGAGAGAGAGAGAGAGAAACTAGTAGTTCATACTGATATCTCCAATCCAATCCAACATCACAGGGTTTATGCTGCTTTCTTCAACTTTCACATTTGTAACTCGTTTCTCCATGAAATACCTTAATCCCATTATTCTCAATATATCTAATCATTTGCACATAAGTTAGTTTCAGAATAACTGCAGCGCTCACTGTCTACTAATGTAAAGTTTATAGTCAAATACTGCCCTCAGAAATTACTTGGAATTCTTTCTTTTTTTTTACCTCCACGTCATAGTTATTTTATTCATTTGAAATACACTTAAGTTCATTTATTTCTGTTTGTATTGAATTTAAGGACTTTTTTCTCCCATCATTGTTTATTTAATTAATTTTGAGTATATTAAACACTAACCTGGTTTCCAAAGTCAAAATAATATGAAAAAACCACATGCACTGAAGTGTCACTCTCCCACCAAACCATTCCACCCTGTCCCCACCAACACTGGTTTCTGGATTATTCTTCCGATGTTTCTTTTTACAAAAGTAAGCAAGTATATAGATATTTTTATTTTCTCTCTTTTCTTAACACAAAAGATAACATACTAGAGAAATTATTTTCTACTTAGCTCCTTTTAACTTGACAATATATCCTGGAAATCACTTCACATGAATTCACAGAAATCCTGCATTCTCTATACATGGCATAGTTTTGCAATGACCATAGCTTATTTAACCTCTCTCCTATATATGGGCATTTAGATGGTTTTCAATACACTGCAATTACAAACAATACTGCAGTGAGTAACCTTGTACATACGTATTTTGTATCTGAATGGTATGTCTTTAGGTTTATTTCCTAAGCATGGACTTTTAAGACAAACAGAAAAGACATATATCATTTTGTTAGATTTTTCCAAGTTCTCTAAGAGTTGTATGCAATACTGAGATACCTGTTTCCTCACACCCTCAGCAACTTTTTAATTTCTGCCAATCTGTTAGGTGAGATACGTTATCGCATTTTGGTTTTAATTTGTATTTCTCTTACCTTGAATAAAGATTAACATCTTCTTATATGTTCAAGGGCCATTTTTATGTGTTTTTATAAATTACCTGTTCATGTCTTTTATTCATTTTGTGAGTTTTGCCATTGATTTCCTATGGTTTACCAGTAATACTATCATCAATAATATCATTTGCAAGCAAAACTGCCTTAATTTCTTCTTTTTCCAATTTTTATGTCTAACTGGTTTATCTCATCTAATTGCAATGGTTAATGCCACCAGTACAATGCTAAATAGTAAAGACACTGGATATCTGTGCTTTGTTCCTGACTTTAAAGGTACTAGTTTTAGTGTTTACACATTAAGGGTCGACTTTAGGCAAAGATCTAAAGATAGACATAAAGGTGTGGGGGGGCAGAAAAAGAGAGAGAGAGGTGAGTGAGCTGTTTTACCCTGTTAATAAAATATCCATCAATTTCTTCCTTTTTCCAACATTTATAAGAAGAAAATTGTATTTCCTCATATTAAATCTAACTTCTATAGATAAATTTCACCTGATCATGATTTATTATTTTCATAATATGGTGTTGGATTTTATTGAGTATTTTTATACCAATATTGATAGATAGATTACATTGCTCTGCAATTTTCTTTTTTGTATTATCCCTATCAAATGTGGTTATCAATATTATACCTTTGCTTCATAAAAAGAATTTGGAAGATTTTTTTTAGATTTTATTATGTATTTATTTAGATTTTATTTTTAATTTTAGAGGAATAAGAGACACATGCAGAACCACTCCAGTTGACCTGACAGGCACATATTGTGCACAAAGGGATAGATCACTGAAAGAGCATCAGCAGATGTCCTCCCTCCTCCCTGCCTTTGTGGTCCAGTTCAAACACCCCTGTCCCCAACATTTCCTGGTTCTCCAACTCTGTGACATCACAGCCTCCTATTCACTCTACCCTGCAAGTGAGTGAGGCTCCAAGGTTACATATAAGGGTAAGAGGGGGTAATTTTCTTCTGTATTAAAAGGGGCAACGTCCCCACCACTCCTGGACACCTACCTATTCACTTTGCTGCAAGAAACAATCACTACCCTTCATTTGCCTTGACCCCCACTGTTTCTCTCTGAGTCCCTCTCCCGACCTGTGCATAATGACCCCTAAGAGCTCCCCAAGCTCCAGAAGCCTTCCTTTTTGATCTCACTGATCTTTCTCATTCTGGCCAAAGTGCTGTAGGGTCGCTAGAGACCTAAAGTTCACAATCCCAGGGTGAAACCCAAAGACCATTTTCTTTGTCTCCTGCTTCCCACTAGAGGAAGACACTGGTAGTGCAAGAAACGCCACACCCAACTCCACCCCAACCAGCATCTCTCCTATTATCATGGCCTTGGTGTTATTATTAAGCACTTACTGGGTGCCAGATACCATTTCAAGCACTTCACATCTTTATATCACCCAATCCTCACAACATTCTGGAGTAGGTTTTACCATCCCCATTGCACAGACTAGAAAAGTGAGGCTCAAGGAAACTAAACTGCTCTAAATTACACAGCAAGGTTCAGGAGGAATTAGGATTCCAAGTTCATCTAAGTAAAAACATGCATTTGTACTGCCTGAATCTAAAATTTAAATTTAAAAATTTGTGCTCTTAGTAACTACACTAGTCTGCTAATCTTCAGATGAAGCTTTTTCATTTAAAAACCTTTTCACATAAACTCTCAGAGAACAAGGTGAACGTCTCATTCTGGAACTGTATAGACAGCATAGGCTCTGGCCTCAGGCAAAACTACATTAAAAGCCTGGTTGCTCTGCTTGGCTGCAACACCTGAGTCTGTCACTTTCCTGAGGTTCATTTACCTCCATCTGGGAAATGAGCCCCCCAACCCCCACCCCATATAGTAAAGAGAAAATGAGCTTGCAGATATCAAAGGGCCTGCCCAAGATGCTCAGCAGTTCTCACTGTTCTTAACACCATGGCATTTCTCTTTCCATTAACTTCTAAGATTGATGTCACAGAGAATGAGGAAGTCCTGAACGAGGGTGTTTCTATTCATTTCTATAAGCAGGATACAAAAAAATCTGCTCATAGAAGGGAGAACAGGACAAAGCATTGAGCATATTGTTGTCCAACAGTCAGAGAAGGCGCATGCATTTATTCAACCAGGATGGAAAATATGTCCACTCAGTACACAGCCCTGTGCAGCGTGCTGGGACCCAAGAGTGTGGGCTGGATCTATCCCCACATCCTT